TTGCAAACAAATAGTATATTTGAATAAATTATTACATTTAAAATAAAATATTATGCCTTACAAAGTTCAAGTTAAATTAACCGTAAGTCGAAAATTTATATCATACTCTGAAAAATTTTTAAAATTGTTAAACAGTAATTAGGATAAATTTATAATATAATATAAGATATTAAAAATATATTAATCATATAAGTCGAAACTGAGATTTATTCGGTTATAGATGAAAATCTTTTATTGAATTGTTCTCATAAATCATAATACATAGATATATTCTAAATTTATACAACAATTGAAAATTGGAGTCTTTTATTTAAAATGTACATCCAGTAATTGAATTATCTATACGTTTATATCTTTAACTACCCCTTCAATCTTATATTTATTGATCAGTTTCCTATATGAATCAGTTTGATAAATATGAAAATCAACTAAATAGATGGAAATTGCAGGTCGTCCTTTCCATTTTTCAAAGAATGCCTCTAAAGTTTCTAAAGAAAACCTAATGCCAAAAGGAATTCCTATTTCTTTTAGATTTGTTGATGCTTCTTTAATTAACACATTCGACAAATAATCCCAATACTCGAACTCATTCCCTTCTCTAATACATGACGTGTATATAAAATATAATGATCGCAAATTTTGACATCTTTTAAGTAATTTTTCAAATTCAATAAAGTAATTTTCCAATAATGGAAACATAGGGATTGTTAAATATTCAATTAAAAAACAATTTTCATAAATTGTACGAATAAAATTAAGAGAGTCATCATTAAAAGAATCTTTTTCTGTGTAAAAATAATTGATCTTTAATTCTCTAAGAAATAAGCTATTTTTAATTATGTAATTAACTTGGTAAATATATATAAACTCAATTTCTATGAATTCAAGGTTACGAAAAGTCATCATTTCCAATTCATTATTAAAATCATCATTATTTGACAATAGAGGAGAATTAATTTTTATTATTTTTAAATTATGAAGTCCTAGGAGTGCGTCTTGTAGAAATGTATAATCACCATCATTATTGTAATTATCGGAATAACTNTATTCAGAAGTACCATCTAATCACAAATCTATTCCCTGTCTCTTATACACATCTAGATGTGTATAAGAGACAGAATGAAAGCCAACTTCTACTTCAAATTCATCTACCCATTTAAAATATTTTAAATTTTTTTGAAATTCGATTAACTTAGTAGTTCCATGATTAACTTTTACGTTTTTATTAATAATAATAATTCTTTGTATTTGTTGACAGATATGTGCTAATCCGTAAAAATACTTAGGATCGATCAATGTGTCACATGTTAATTCATAAAGTGATTCAAGATGTGCCTTTGCTTCTGGAAGATATAATATCTCATAGGTGCCACATATATTTAAGTACTTTATTTCTGGACATTTCTTTATCAACAAACTATAAATTTCCTCTTGTAAAAGAAATCGATTATATTCTAATGGTGATCCAATGGAAATTATTTCATCTATAGTTTCTATATTGATACTCCTACAGAAAGACAAATAATCAAACGCAAATGATTGGCTTGAAATTTGAATTCCTTTCTTTGTTAAGAATTCTTTAATATCATTGGATAAATAAGAAGTAAGAATAGAATATAAAGAATTTCTTGTATGATAATCAACAGCATAGTACCAAGGATTCCTCCATAAAATTGGAATCACGGTTTCACACCAAATTTTATTAACCATTAGGCATGAAAAGAGGAATGTTGAATCATCTTGTAATTCCTCAAATATCAAGAAAAGAATATATTTATCAAGTTTGGACATTTTTCTTCAAAAAAAAAAAAAAAATTTCTTCAGATTATCTTGTAATTCCTCAAATATCAAGAAAAGAATATCTTTATTAAGTTTGGACATTTTTTTTTTAAATAAATATTTTGAAATAAAATAAAACATAAAAGCTGTCTCTTATACACATCTAGATGTGTATAAGAGACAGCTTTAATACATGACGTGTATATAAAATATAATGATCGCAAATTTTGACATCTTTTAAGTAATTTTTCAAATTCAATAAAGTAATTTTCCAATAATGGAANAAAAAAAAAAAAAAAAATAGAAATAATAGGGAGAAAAAAAATAAACGAATTATTGAATATATATAAAAGCTCCGTGTGCGACCATAAGCTGATCGACCGGATTTGGATCTTTAAAACGTGTATCACGTGACTATGACTTGCCTGTATGCGAAACCCATTTCGCCGAAGCCATTTCGACGAAGAGATAATCACCGAAGGGATATTTCGCCGAAAGGACGTTTCGCCGAAATACCATTTTACCGAATTCCATTTCGTCGAAGCCATTTTATCGAATGGACATTTCGCCAAAAAATTATTCCATTTGGTTATTTTATTGTTTTTATAAAGAAATCTTTTCTAGAAAAATTTTTGAATTAGCTGATTTTTATTAAATTTATCTTGTTCATAATAAATGTTTTCAGAAAAATAAAGTTGTTTATTTATTGCTTAGTAACAAATAATATCAGTTATTTGAATGTTAAAGTGATAATATCCTGGAAAAAAAATCTCTAAAAATAATTTAATTTTTACTTTCATTGTGTGATGAATATTTTTTATAAAAATGTTAATCGCTACCATTTTCGGCTTGGCGAAATGAAATGGAATTCGGCGAAATGGACAATTCGATGAAATGGATTCGATAAAATGCACTTGTACCTTCGGTGAAACATCCCTTTGGCGAAATGGCTTCGGCGAAATGGGTTTCGGTAAAATGGGGTTCAGCAAAATGTACCGTAACCGTTCATAGGGAGCTTTAACATCATCAGCCTCAGCCTCAGCCTTATCAGTACTAAGATTTTATTTGTTCATTGTTTATACATATACACGGTGCACGTTGTTTTTTCTCTTTCCTTCCCTCTTCTTTTCTCACTTCTTTTTTCCCTTTTCTTTTTTATTTCAAAATATCTTTCAAAAGAACTAAATATTATCTAGAAGTGCTTATAGGTATTGTTTATAAAGCTGAAAATATTTTCCCAACTTTTTTTTATATATAAGGCGCGTTTTTTTATAAAGAAATTTCATTTACTTTAGCCAAAATAAAACGACTTTATTAAATAAGCAATGTTATTTAGAAGAAGAAAGTACAAAGTTATTAATTTTTACCAAGCTAGTTTGCATATTCATAAAGCTATATTCATTATTTGTAATAATATTATCATACTGTGTTTTATGACGTAATTTAAGTACTGTACTTTGGTCAAGGAAAACTGGCTTTTATTGAATAAGTAAAGTTTTTTAATTTTCAATGATGTTTGAATAAATGTTTGTGGAGTTATTATTATTTTTTTTTTTTATTGCGATTAAATTTATTACGCGTATAAACTTTTTATTTACAGAATAATTGCTAAAATATTACTGAGTTTTGTCAAATAATTAGAATTTTTCAATTGGTTCGGGAATACTTGGACACTAAATTATACTGAATTGAATATTTATTAATAGAAATTGTGTTTTAGTTTAAAAAATATTTATATGTATATTGAACATTTAATTTGAAATGTATTACTAAAATATTTAATATATTAAAATTTTATTATAACTTATAAATAATTATAATATTAATATAAATCTTTGAAATTTTTAATTTTTTTAAAATGCCAATTAATTTTGTGAGGATAATAATGATCAAATGTGTTCACATTTTGAGCCAATTATAGAATAAGATAATAACCTAATACCTGGGGAGTCTAAGGGACTGGAATCGAATCTAAAATTGATCACGATTAATCATTTCTCAAAATTCGATTCTGAGATTTTATTTTCAGTTTCGATTAGTCGATTCTAATCGATTTTCTGCACCATGAAAAATATGATTTGTGGCGCAATAAGTAGTCACATAACTTCTATTTATTTATTATTATTATGTTTATTTTTTTATTATAACTCTTTATCGGCCAAAATACAAAATTTACGACGATTTTCTTGTAATTTTAATGAGGATTCTATATATAAGAAAAATTCCATCTCTTTTTCATGAATATTCAGAAGTACCATCTAATCACAAATCTATTCCAATGTATCACAATGATTAATTAATTTGTGTAATAGCGGTTATTTTCATTGTAAAGCAAATCAAATAAAGAAAATTAATACCATTGAATTAATTACCTCAATAATTATAATCGTTATAAGGAAATCCATATAAAGAACATAAATACTATATAAATAATAATTTATTAAATAATCATATAATATCTAAAATAAGAAATTAAAATAAACGACATAACATGTGATCATTCGACCAAGATTTTCTTCAGAATATCGGCAATTTCGTCGTATAGACGACTTAGCCCAAATTTCGTGTAACAGTAAAAAAATCATATGGTTAGTTTAGAAGGAAATAAGTGAATTGTTTACTTATAATAATTTATTGTACGTTTGAATTCTTTTTAATTTGATTACATTAAGCAATAAATTAATATATATATTCATTTTAGCACGCACATTTGTACTTGTACATCAAAATAGAATAAAGTTAGAAGACTTTAGTTTATCAAGAAAAAAAAAATAACTGATGCATTATATATAAAAGTCAACAAATATAGATTAAATACAATTAGCTATTAAAATAAGAATAAAAATTTTACATTATCATTGAAAATAGTTTTATATTGTTATTTTGATAATTTATATTTCATAATTGGAAAAGTTATAAAAAAAAAGATTTATTTAAATTACAAACTAAAAAACTTGTAAAATATTTACTACTCTAATCTTAGTGTTTTAAATAATTCTAAGTATAATAAAAAAAGTGTATATAAATATATAAGCTAAAAAAAAAGAATTATTTAAATTACAAACTAAGAAACTTGTAAAATATTTTGCTACTCTAGCCTTAGTGTTTAAATAAATTTAAAAAGAATAAAATAAAACAATTTCTTTTGAATGTGTAATATCAAATATCACTTAAAAAAAAATTATAAATTTTTTTAAAAACAAACAATGATTAGTTAATTTTCATCTAGTATTAATATCTAAATAATTAAATAAAAGAAATCAATTTTACATAAATAATTTACAAGATTTCTTTATATATTACATACCTAATAGCTTCAAATTAACCATACATTCGCTCAAACCTTCACTTTCAAGAACTTCATTCAATTTTTCACTAGTAAAATCAAGTAAGCGACTTGTATAATATGCTTCTGGATGTGATTCAGTAACAGGATTGCTATGCTGCCCAATTGGTGCATTTATAAATTCCATAATGTTGCTTTTTAATTCTTCACTGACTTCATAATTATGAGGAGGGAAAATCCATTTTTCAATAATTTCAGATACTTCTTTAGAAGATGGTCTTTTTGATGAATCCTCATTCCAACATTTTTTCATTAATTCTACATAACATTGTGGAATATTTTCAATAATTTCAGGACCTGTCTCTTATACACATCTAGATGTGTATAAGAGACAGCTTCAGGAGCCATAAATGGCACTACACCATAAATATCATACTTTTTCAAAAATGATTTTACAGGTTGGCATAATCCTAAATCACTAATAAAAATTTTATCACTATTCTCATAATTATAATTTAAAATATTACCATCATGAATATCACAATGAATAAGATTTTCTCTATGTATCCCACTTAGTCCAGAAATAATTTCGTACAACATATATAATTTTCGATTCCAATTATTTTTGACTATTCTTGTTAAATTTTCTCTTAAATTACCTTTATTTGCGTAATCCATTACTACCATATATTTTGAAATATTTGGATCTTTTGTAAATCCATAAAAATATATAATATTGACTGAACTTAAAACACTTGAATTATGATATTCCCACTATAAAAAATAATAATAATTTATTAATATAAATAAATAAATTATAATTTAAATTAAGAATAGAAAATAATATACTATCATACTTCTTTTAAAAATTCATTTAAATTTTCATTTAAATTCTTGTGACATTTAAGAATTACTTCTTTATCTTCATAATTATTTAACCAAGTAACTTTATATATAGTACCAAATCCTCCTTCATTAAGATATTCAACATTTTTAAATTTGTTATATGGAATCCATCTTAAATTTTTTTTAAGAATAAAATCATCTATAATCGTATTTCCACTTTTCCCAAATCTATAAATTTGAATAATTAAAATTATATTATAGATATTATAGATTGTATTATAATTTACACAAAACAAATTATTACTTACTCTAAATTTAAATAGGAATTTAATGTAATATATATAAGTCTTAATTTTTGGAAAAATACATATAATAACCTATAATTAACAACTTACCAACTAAAGTAATATATATTTTTCAAATGAAAGAATTCAGTTAACTAATAAATATTACATAAAGTATATAATGATAGAGATACATACAAACTAGATCATAAATAATTTTTTTAATAAAGAAATTAATTAGTTTAAATTATATGTAAATATTATAACAATAAGTAATGATAGAATTAAATAAATAATTTATAACTTACAATCTATTAAATAAAGAAATTAGTTAGTTTAAATTATATGTAAATATTATAACAAGAAGTAATAATA